GTTTTGACATCCCATAGACTGTTAGACTTATCTTCACTACCAGAAGCAAATGTATAACCATCTGGAGAAAACAGACTGATCTAACGTAATCACTATGACCCTCTAACCTATTCAATTCATGTATTTTCAAGTTCTTCCATTTACAATTAATTAGCAACGCCCCATTTAAATTAATTTCATCAATATCTACAATATCAAATTCCGTTCCTCTCAGGTTGCAGTTTATAAATATACCACCAATCAAAGAAATGTTCTTTATCCTGATATTCAAAAAGGATAGATTTGTTAGATCAGTTTTCATTTTACCAATAATTAAAGTGCATTCGATCCACATTATATAAATTTATTATCAAATACAGTGAGATGTTAAAGTCATGTTGATAAATATTATACATCAAATACTTAAAACACTTAATTTTCCTATTCACCTAATATTAGTTCTTTTCTGTTTTGATATATTTATAGTAAAGCTCCTGATTATCATTTTTAGATAAAACTTCTAAACTATCAGAAATTTTTTATTTATCAAGCATTTTAGTAATTAAGCTAAATATTGATGTATCCATATCTTTTGTTTAATTGAGAATATCATACAAATCCTCTTTCTATTCATAACCTGGTTAAATCCTAGAGAGCAATTGGATTCCTTCTTTCGACTTTTCGATAAAAGTCTTAATGGGATTGTCCCCCCAATAGTTTGTCTTTTTTAACTCCATCTAAAAATTTTTGTCGGCATTCCATTTATTTAAAATTGTTCCTTGAACAATATATACTAATTTTTCTAAGTCAGTGTAAGAAGATTCTGCTAGATTAACATTTAAGTTTATGGGACGAATGAATGTTTAGTTTTCCATTTCAATCCAATCATATACTTACTTGATTGATTGTGAAAACTCCTCCCAAATTTTCTTCAACATTTATTCGGTTTGAGAAAGCAAGGATTTAAAATCTTTTCTCTATCTGGTAAACTCAGATGTTTCATCAAGTTTGGAGTCTTTTAAGTTTTTCAGAGCCATTTCTTAAAATTTTTTGAGGGTTAATGTATGTCTAGCATCTACATTATGTTCATCAAGGCATTCTACACAAAGTTTCCTTTAGCATTCGCACTTGTGAGGAACCATACATATCAAAATGGCGGGATTTTGAATATGATAAGTGCAATTCATTATTTTAAGTTAGGACTTTGTGTAGATTTGGAATTGATTGGAATAGGGATAAAATATGTTATAAGGATTCATTTCAACATCTGCATTACTTGATTTTTAAATAATATAGAATATTTTTATTATATAAGAATATTTAATTATACAAAAATTGAGTTCTATGATTAATTAATTAATTTTTCTTTTTTAATTCTAATTTTTCGGCTTAATGCTTGAAGACTGAAATATGAAACCGTTAATAATATAATTTAAAAATGAATCCTACTGTTAAACAGTAATAAATTAAGTCATATAATATCCTAGAGGATATATAAAAGAATTTGTGTTAAATTTGTTTTTTTAAGTTATTATTTCGATCTTTATTTTAAACTCTTCATCTACTGTTCTCTGTTTAAATTATTAACTAAAAGTAGTATCATTTAAATTTAAATCTCTATCAAGCAAAATTTATAAAATTTTTTATGAGAATCCCTATAAATGACTTATATTGAAAAAAATTTTGAAAAATTAGAACTTACCTAGCAGTGAGGATTAAGAGTGAAACTAATAAAGACAAAATAAAAAAAAATATTAGATATTGATTTTAATTATATTTGTAATAATGTTAATGAATAATCACTTTTACTTAAAGTCTTGTAAAAAGCAACTACCTTTTTATTTAAACAATTTCTTTAAATCTATACCTGATTGATTTATAAACTCTCCATTCAAAATTAGTGCTCCTTATGCTTAAAATATTGCCTATTAGGATATAAGGAGTGTAGTGATGTAATCGGAGGCTAAAAATATGATAGGTCATAAATACTTCTTTCGGAAATATGTCGATGATATTGGAGTGGAGTCTTAAATTATGCAAAAATATTGTTATAGTTTTTGTCAGCGGATAAAATTTCTTTTCCATTCTGAACATCCCAGAAACGGATAGACTTATCATCACTACCAGAAGCTAATGTACTTCCATCAGGAGAGAAACAGACTGATCTAACATAATCACTATGA